CATCCTCACTACTTCTATACCATGTGTACATAAACTGTGTTACATCCTCACTACTTCTCCACCATGTATGCATAAACTGTGTTACATCCTCACTACTTCTATACCATGTGTGGCCAGAATAAAACTGGATAAAAATTTGGAAAAAAAACCACATTTCCCCCCCCCCCCCCCCCCCCCCCCCCCCCCCCCCCCCCCCCCCCCCCCCCCCCCCCCCCCCAACCCCACATCCCCAACCCCACCAAAAAAAAAACCAAACCAAAAAAAAAAAAAAAAAAGAGTAAAAAAAAATTAATAAAAAACGCTAAACGCACTTACACATGTAAGATGCGGAAAAATAAAAGCACAAAAAGATTTTAAGTGGGACCCTGAAAGTGGCCTTGTGGTTGGAGCTCAGTGACAAGCTTATCGGTTTCGATGTGGTGTACAAGGAAGCAGCCAAGGCACAATCACTGACACAGTGCTTATCAGCTAGCAAAAACCAAAAACCTCACACAGACAAAAAGGAAAGGCGTAAATAAAAAAAATCGGTAATCGAGGCGACCCCAAACGCCATACAAAATCAAAAAGACCAAGAGTCAGCCATTACACAACGACTTGATATAGTCACCGCTCAACCAGGAGCAGACTGAAAAAGTCAAGGAGTTTTATCATTTTTGTTTTCTACAAAGTTCAAAGTTCAAGTGCTGATTATATTCCACGTGTGGCTTTCGGAGCCTCATTTTGGCAGAAAAGAATGTCCACTACCTCTCTAACAAGCATGACGTACAAGAAGACTAAACAAGGTTTGCCTGAAATCTGGAGTGTTGGTCCGAGCCGATTAACGCTACACTTCCATCGCGGCACACCGAACCCACATTGTAAATTGAAGATCAGCAGATATGTAGAAGCGTGGTCGCCTGCGCAGTATAGCGAGGCACTAAATGGTGATCAGTGAATGCTAGAAAAATGAACCAGCAGCGTTGATTGCGGCCACTGTTACTGTGACAATCTGAGATCGTTACCAAGCCGTGTCTCTACGCCAGAAGACATTCCGTGTTGCCAGATTGCAGCCATGCCTGTGTGCGGATTGTTGACCCAGTGTGATCTGTGGTCCCGAGGACACACAAGACAGCGGCCAGTGATGCAACTGTCTGTTTGCTGGTTGCTGACTTGGATCACAGGCTGTTATCTGGGTCGCCAGCCGCCTCCTTCCGTGTTTCTGGTGGGAGGTCAAGGTCGGGCTGTATCAGCTCTCATGGTCAAAGAGTGTGGGCTTTCTTTCTTTCTTTCTTTCTTTCTTTCTTTCTTTCTTTCTTTCTTTCTTTCTTTCTTTCTTTCTTTCTTTCTTTCTTTCTTTCTTTCTTTCTTTCTTTCTTTCTTTCTTTCTTTCTTTCTTTCTTTCTTTCTTTCTCTCTTTCTTTTCTTTTCTTTCTTTCTGTTTGCATTTGTCTTTTTCGTTTTTCTTTTAATCTTTTTAGTTCTTTTTTTTTTTTAGTCCTTCGACTTTCCGTGTTTCTCTATTTCATGTTTCTCCTAAACGTGAACTAGACGGAAAGGTAACTTTGAGAACTTCCATAAACATCAAGAACTAATTGCCATTTGTCAAGTGTCCAGATGTGTTGTCCCAAGTGTGTTTCCACCCGCCCCCTGTTTTTGCCCTGCTAACCAGAACCCGTGTAGATCTCTACATTTCTCCTAGGCCTAACAAGTCGGGGTGAAGCAATATAAATATAACAAACACATCGATTTTAAGTGTATAGCTACTATACAAGAAATCCAACCGGCCACTCCCAAGTGACGGCGGCGCCTTGCTGCAGGATCAAGTGTTGTAAGAGGCATGACTACTCGACACCCTACTGGCGTGTTAACTATAGCTTTTGATTTCTTTGTTGTCTATGGGTCCTTCTCTCTCAGTAATGATTTCTTCCAGGGCGCATCATCGCTTGTCTGTTTGTTTACTACATGTTCCCCATACTGATTCCGAGAGCAGCGTAACCAGGTAACGACTACTTTTCACAATCTTCCAGCCTAAGCGAGACGGAACACCAGAGGGTTTAATCTCAGAGCCAAGAGATGTCTGTCTGTTGTATTAGCAGATTTTAGAAATCTTGTAGTTATAAACAGCTCCCCCCCCCCCCGCCCTCTTTTTATTTTTCATTCTAATCTGTGTATACGACGCGATACAAGGAGTATCATATGTACAGCTAGTGGAGCACGCACATTATGTTGACGTCTGTAATCATCAATCACATTACCGGCACCCTGATTCTAATTCCTCACCCCCCAACTCTCCCCACCACCAGTGCCCGAAACTCACGCGAAACGCACATGCCTCTTGTGTTGTGAGAGCTCAGCTCCCCGAGCATGGTTGCGCGGTTTCTGTCAGGCAGGAGAACGCACACAGGTCATCGTCACAGCTGAGTAGTTGATTTCTTGAATGCACGCTGGAATGCGGCAGGTCCGCCCCAAACATGCACGGGTAAACAACATGTTGCAGTTGTATAAGAGGTCATCGCACGGGGCAAGTCTGAGAGAGTAACGAAACATGGAGGTCACTGCTCTTGGAATGGTGCAGAACACCAACAACCCTAAACGATAACCGAGAAACTGAAAGAAAGAAAAGGTACAGCGGCTCTTTTCTTTTAGTTCACTCCATCATGGGAAATACGAGACTGCGTGGGAAGTTCCGACTGACAGTAACCCTAACGCCATTGTCGTTGTCGTCGCTGCCATCATTACCATCGTTGTCATCATTATTATCATCGCTGTCATCATTATTATCATCATCTTCATCACCGTCAGCACTATGGTCGTCAATATCACCATTGTCATTATCACCATCAGATGCCATGTCCAACAGACCAGCTTAGCCACCCAGGGATGTATCTTTTTGTCTAGTTTACGTCACCTGGCTTAGCCACCCAGGGGTGTATCTTTTTGTCTAGTTTACGTCACCTGGCTTAGCCACCCAGGGATGTATCTTTTTGTCTAGTTTACGTCACCTGGCTTAGCCACCCAGGGATGTATCTTTTTGTCTAGTTTACGTCACCTGGCTTAGCCACCCAGGGATGTATCTTTTTGTCTAGTTTACGTCACCTGGCTTAGCCACCCAGGGATGTATCTTTTTGTCTAGTTTATGTCACCTGGCTTAGCCACCCAGGGATGTATCTTTTTGTCTAGTTTACGTCACCTCGCTTAGCCACCCAGGGATGTATCTTTTTGTCTAGTTTACGTCACCTGGCTTAGCCACCCAGGGATGTATCTTTTTGTCTAGTTTACGTCACCTGGCTTAGCCACCCAGGGATGTATCTTTTTGTCTAGTTTACGTCACCTGGCTTAGCCACCCAGGGATGTATCTTTTTGTCTAGTTTACGTCACCTGGCTTAGCCACCCAGGGATGTATCTTTTTGTCTAGTTTACGTCACCTGGCTTAGCCACCCAAAAATGTATCTTTTTGTCTAGTTTACGTCACCTGGCTTAGCCACCCAGGGATGTATCTTTTTGTCTAGTTTACGTCACCTGGCTTAGCCACCCAGGGATGTATCTTTTTGTCTAGTTAACGTCACCTGGCTTAGCCACCCAGGGATGTATCTTTTTGTCTAGTTTACGTCACCTGGCTTAGCCACCCAGGGATGTATCTTTTTGTCTAGTTTACGTCACCTGGCTTAGCCACCCAGGGATGTATCTTTTTGTCTAGTTTACGTCACCTGGCTTAGCCACCCAGGGATGTATCTTTTTGTCTAGTTTACGTCACCTGGCTTAGCCACCCAGGGATGTATCTTTTTGTCTAGTTTACGTCACCTGGCTTAGCCACCCAGGGATGTATCTTTTTGTCTAGTTTACGTCACCTGGCTTAGCCACCCAGGGATGTATCTTTTTGTCTAGTTTACGTCACCTGGCTTAGCCACCCAGGGATGTATCTTTTTGTCTTCATCTGATTCTTTCGTCTTTACACTCACACTTGTCACTTAGTGTTTAGCCTGTAGCATGCCCACGATTAATTTAGGATCTCTTCAGACGATTAAACAGCCAAGCAGCCAGCTATTCAACTGATATACAGACAGACTAGCCAGCCAAGCAACAGACAAACAGACCAGTCACCCACCCAAGCAACAGACAGACCATACAATTAAATAACAGACAGACCAGCCAGTCAAATGACAGACAGTTCACCCAACTGAGAGACAGCCAGACCGACCTGGCCAAACAACTGACAAACTTAAAGAGTACCGGTGATGTTGATCATATCACTTAAAGAGTGCCGGTGATGTTGATTATATCACTTAAAGAGTACCGGTGATGTTGATCATATCACTTAAAGAGTACCGGTGATGTTGATCATATCACTTAAAGAGTACCGGTGATGTTGATTATATCACTTAAAGAGTGCCGGTGATGCTGATCATATCACTTAAAGAGTGCCGGTGATGATGATCATATCACTTAAAGAGTGCCGGTGATGTTGATCATATCACTTAAAGAGTACCGGTGATGTTGATCATATCACTTAAAGAGTACCGGTGATGTTGATCATATCACTTAAAGAGTACCGGTGATGTTGATCATATCACTTAAAGAGTACCGGTGATGTTGATCATATCACTTAAAGAGTACCGGTGATGTTGATCATATCACTTAAAGAGTACCGGTGATGTTGATCATATCACTTAAAGAGTGCCGGTGATGATGATCATATCACTTAAAGAGTGCCGGTTATGCTGATCATATCACTTAAAGAGTGCCGGTGATGTTGATCATATCACTTAAAGAGCACTCTTTAAATGATGTGATCAACATCACGTCGGCCGCCTTGACCTACCTTGACTTCAACGGGTACCATTTTGAGAATAGGCGACCTTAAAGCCAAGGCAATGTTTAACAAACCGTCTCAATGCGGGTGTGAACCTACCGGCCCAAGGCGAGCGACTAGCCGCTACACCATGTCTTAGAACTAGAGATGCAATCAAGCTCCAAGCTGTGTCTAGGTGATCAATGGTTTCTGCTTCCGCTCTTGTCCACAGAGTGACTGGCGGAGAACTCTTCGACTACATCTCGGAGAAGGACCACCTGGGCGAGGAGGAGGCCTCGGCGTTCATCGCTCAAATCTTGCACGGGGTCAAACATATCCACGCCAAAAACATCGCTCACCTCGACCTCAAGGTGAGTCCGGCCCAGCAGACAGCATCTGTACGTGTGCAGGCTGTTGTTGTTATATGTGCAACTATTTGAAGTGTTGTATCACTCTGCAGGTTGTTGGAGGGGTGGGGACGTGGGGTGGGGGGGGGAGAAGAGCGAGAAAGAGAGAGAGAGAGAGAAAAGAGGAGAGAGAGAGAGAGAGAGAGAGAGAGAGAGAGAGAGAGAGAGAAAAGAAGGGGTGGGGATAGAAGGTGGGAGAGAGCAATGAGGGCACGTCTTGAATTGTGCTTTTTGTAAAGATGATTATGGTGTTGAGTTGTTTCAAGAGCGAAAGTCATGTCTTGTCACACTGAGCAAGCTCCAGTCATCTCTCCCTACCTCCACAGCCAGAGAACATCATGTTGCTCAACAAAAACTCACAGAGAATTAAACTCATCGACTTCGGGCTGGCCCAGAAAATCACCGCCACAGACGACATCAGGGCACTCATGGGCACCGCCGAGTTTGTGGGTAGGTTGCTTACATTTCACTTGTTAACGCACGCGTGACGCTGACATACCCGAGCACATGACTGACATACCCGAGCACGTGGCTGACATACCTGAGCACATGACTGACATACCCGAGCACGTAGTTGACATACATGAGCACGTGGCTGACATACCTGAGCACATGACTGACATACCTGAGCACATGACTGACATACCTGAGCACGTGGCTGACATACCTGAGCACGTGGCTGACATACCTGAGCACATGACTGACATACCTGAGCAAGTGGCTGACATACCTGAGCACGTGGCTGACATACCTGAGCACATGGCTGACATACCTGAGCACATGGCTGACATACCTGAGCATGTGACTGACATACCTGAGCACATGGCTGACATACCTGAGCACATGGCTGACATACCTGGGAACGTGGCTGACATACCCGAGCACATGACTGACATACCTGAGCACATGACTGACATTCCCGAGCACGTGGCTGACATACCTGAGCACGTGGCTGACATACCTGAGCACATGCCTGACATACCTGAGCACATGACTGACATACCTGAGCACATGGCTGACATACCTGAGCACATGGCTGACATACCTGAGCACATGACTGACATACCTGAGCACATAACTGACATACCTGAGCACATGACTGACATACCTGAGCACATGACTGACATACCTCAGCACATGACTGACATACCTGAGCACATGACTGACATACCTGAGCACATGACTGACATACCTGAGCACGTGGCTAACATACATGAGCACATGGCTGACATACCTGAGCACATGACTGACATACCTAAGCACATGGCTTACATACCTGAGCATGTGGCTGACGTACCTGAGCACATGATTGACATACCTGAGTACATGACTGACATACCTGAGCACATGACTGACATACCTGAGCACATGGCTGACTTACCTGAGCACATGATTGACATACCTTAGCACATGACTGACATACCTGAGCACATGACTGACATACCTGAGCACATGGCTGACATACCTGAGCACATGGCTGACATACCTGAGCACATGACTGACATACCTGAGCACATGACTGACATACCTGAGCACATGACTGACATACCTGAGCACATGACTGACATACCTGAGCACATGATTGACATACCTGAGCACATGGCTGACATACCTGAGCACATGACTGACATACCTAAGCACATGATTGACATACCTGAGCACATAGCTGACATACCTGAGCACATGATTTACATACCTGAGCACATGGCTGACATACCTGAGCACATGACTGACATACCTGAGCACGTGGCTGATATACCTAAGCACGTGGCTGACATACCCGAGCACGTGGCTGACATACCTGAGTACATGACTGACATACCTGAGCACGTGGCTGACATACCTGAGGACATGATTGACATACCTGAGTACATGACTGACATACTTGAGCACATGATTGACATACCGGAGCACGTGGCTGACATACCTGAGTACATGGCTGATATACCTGAGCACGTGGCTGACATACCTCAGCACGTGGCTGACATACCTCAGCACGTGGCTGACATACCTGAGCACGTGACTGACATACCTGAGCACGTGACTGACATACCTGAGCACATGACTGATATACCTAAGCACGTGGCTGACATACCTGAGTACATGACTGATATACCTGAGCACGTGGCTGACATACCTGAGTACATGACTGATATACCTGAGCACGTGGCTGACATACCTGAGTACGTGACTGACATACCTGAGCACATGACTGACATACCTGAGTACATGATTGACATACCTGAGCACATGGCTGACATACCTGAGTACATGACTGACATACCTGAGTACATGACTGATATACCTGAGCACGTGGCTGACATACCTGAGTACGTGACTGACATACATGTGCACGTGGCTGACATACCTGAGTACATGATTGACATACCTGAGTACATGATTGACATACCTGAGCACATGGCTGACATACCTGAGCACATGACTGACATACCTGAGTACATGACTGATATACCTGAGCACGTGGCTGACATACCTGAGTACGTGACTGACATACATGTGCACGTGGCTGATATACCTGAGCACATGACTGACATACCTGAGCACATGACTGACATACCTGAGTACATGACTGACATACCTGAGCACATGACTGACATACCTGAGCATATGACTGACATACCTGAGCACATGACTGACATACCTGAGCACATGACTCGACCAGGTAAGGATTTGCTGCAGTTGTATTTGTTAGGTCACCAGGAACAGATGTCGCAGCCAAGCTGCGTTTAAGGGCGAATACAGAAGAAGAAGAAATATAACAGTTGATTCTTTTAACTACATGTGTGTCATTCTTGTCTGTCACCGCAGCCCCAGAAGTTGTCAGTTATGAGAGCCTGTCTCTAGCCACCGACATGTGGAGTGTGGGCGTCATCACTTACATTCTGTGAGTTGTCTGTGTTTGTTGAATGTCTGTTGAATGTTTGTTGTATATTTGTTGAATGTTTGTTGTATGTTTGTTTGACACACGTTTTTGAATCATGGATGGCTTTAGAAAATTATTTGTAATTTGTATTCTGCGTTGGTGAAATAAACAGACAGCATATTTTTTCTGCATTCTGTTTCTCCCTATCTCGTTCTCTCTCTCTCTCTTTCTCTCTCTCTCTCTCTCTCTATCTCTCTCTCTCTCTCTCTCTCTCTCTCTCTCTCTCTCTTTGCGTCTCTCCTCTCTCTGTGTCGCTTTTCTAAGTATATCTCATTTAGTCCATCTGTTTGTATGCTTACCTCTGTACGGTCGTGTGCACAAAACGTTGTCCCGGCTCCCTCAAGTGTGTACAGTGTACATAAGGCAAAAATTAGCTCAGTTTATTCCAAGACACCAAGTGTTTGCTGGCTGCATATTTTTAGATCACTTGTGCTTGGCACATCAGTCAGTTCCATCACAGCTGTATCAACTAGAATAGTTGTACACTTCCATCACAGCTGTATCAGATAGAGTAGTTGTACACTTCCATCACAGCTGTATCAGCTAGAATAGTTGTACACTTCCATCACAGCTGTATCAGCTAGAATAGTTAGTTGTACACTTCCATCACAGCTGTATCAGCTAGAATAGTTGTGCACTTCCATCACAGCTGTATCAGCTAGAATAGTTGTACACTTCCATCACAGCTGTATCAGCTAGAATAGTTGTGCACTTCCATCACAGCTGTATCAGCTAGAATAGTTGTACACTTCCATCACAGCTGTATCAACTAGAATAGTTGTGCACTTCCATCACAGCTGTATCAGCTAGAATAGTTGTACACTTTCATCGCAGCTGTATCAGCTAGAATAGTTGTGCACTTCCATCACAGCTGTATCAGCTAGAATCGTTGTACACTTTCATCGCAGCTGTATCAGCTAGAATAGTTGTACACTTCCATCACAGCTGTATCAGCTAGAATCGTTGTACACTTCCATCACAGCTGTATCAGCTAGAATAGTTGTACACTTCTATCACAGCTGTATCAGCTAGAATAGTTGTACACTTCCATCACAGCTGTATCAGCTAGAATAGTTGTGCACTTCCATCACAGCTGCATCAGCAAGAATAGTTGTACACTTCCATCACAGCTGTATCAGCTAGAATAGTTGTGCACTTCTATCACAGCTGTATAAGCTAGAATAGTTGTACACTTCCATCACAGCTGTATCAGCTAGAATAGTTGTTCACTTCCATCACAGCTGTATCAGCTAGAATAGTTGTACACTTCCATCACAGCTGTATCAACTAGAATAGTTGTGCACTTCCATCACAGCTGTATCAGCTAGAATAGTTGTACACTTTCATCGCAGCTGTATCAGCTAGAATAGTTGTGCACTTCCATCACAGCTGTATCAGCTAGAATCGTTGTACACTTTCATCGCAGCTGTATCAGCTAGAATAGTTGTGCACTTTCATCACAGCTGTATCAGCTAGAATAGTTGTGCACTTCCATCACAGCTGTATCAGTTAGAATAGTTGTGCACTTCCATCACAGCTGTATCAGCTAGAATAGTTATACACTTCCATCACAGCTGTATCAACTAGAATAGTTGTGCACTTCCATCACAGCTGTATCAGCTAGAATAGTTGTACACTTCCATCACAGCTGTATCAGCTAGAATAGTTGTGCACTTCCATCACAGCTGTATCAGCTAAAATAGTTGTACACTTCCATCACAGCTGTATCAGATAGAATAGTTGTACACTTCCATCACAGCTATATCAGCTAGAATAGTTGTGCACTTCCATCACAGCTGTGTCAGCTAGAATAGTTGTGCTGTCTTCTCGTCGTTCAGTGAATCGACCACATCGTTAACTCAATATTAAATATTCGATTAGTTAGACTTGCAGTCATTTAAACCAGACAGCAGAATCGAAAAGGTTTGTTTTTGCTCAAACTGGCAGTCACTTGAGTCTACCGTAACAAGTCATCGTTAGATCGGCTCTAGTGCGGCTGTCAGCTGACTCCAGCACCCAGTGAGTTGCTAGCAGATGTTAGATCAGTTGTGTTCTAGCGCGGCCGTCAGCTGACGCCACCACCCAGTGAGTTGACAGCAGATGGATTAGTTGTGTTGTCGGCCGTGGCCGCTGTTGTCTGCAGTCCGTGCTAATCCCACAGCTCGTCTGTTGACTCAGGCGACTTTGGCGGGCTAGTTTAGGCTAACTCCTGGTCAGACAGGCACGGTGCCATTGTCTCTGGCTCAGGCGAGCGGGCGGGCAGTGTCGCCAGCCGGCGACACATTGAAACATCTCGCCAGCCGTCGAAACATTGAAACATCTCGCCAGCCGGCGACACATTGAAACATCTCGCCAGCCGTCGACACATTGAAACATCTCGCCAGCCGTCGACACATTTAAACATCTCGCCAGCCGTCGACACAATTAAACATCTCGCCAGCCGTCGACACATTGAAACATCTCGCCAGCCGTCGACACATTGAAACATCTCGCCAGCCGTCGACACATTGAAACATCTCGCCAGCCGTTACATCTCGCCAGCCGTCACATCTCGCCAGCCGTAACATCTCGCCAGCCGTAACATCTCGCCAGCCGTCACATCTCGCCAGCCGTCACATCTCGCCAGCCGTCACATCTCGCCAGCCGTCACATCTCGCCAGGTGGCAACTCTGGAGTGTTGATGTCACGTCCTCATGCTCTATCCAAATTATCTTTATCACGACCACTTCTATTGAATGTTGTATCCCCTCTCTGTTCTGTGATGCATTTCAGTACCGTACTATCATGCTGACTGCTCTAAGCTATATCTTCCTGTCTTTCTCTCTCGCTGTCTCTTTCTCCCTCAGTCTCTTTCTCCCTGTCCCTCTATCCCGGATCTACAACTGGAAGCGGATTGGAACAAATAGCCACTAGCACTGGTTATAACTAATGTGATCATGGGATGGCAGCATGTCTATTTTGAGATACTTACTAAAACACACACATATTCAGACACTCCACACACGGATGCATAAGGTTCACACACACACATGCACACCCATCCTCACACAGCAACATTCCTCAGTTATTTCTGACAAGCCAGCAGTTCTGTTCTCCATGCCACTGTTACCTCTACCCTTACACACCTGGACAAGCTAGAGTAAATGGTAATAATCCAGGGAACCTGCTGGTAACGCTGAGGTGTCAGGGTGCATGCACAGAGCAGATATCACCAGTCCTGTACAGACTAGACTGGCAGACGGTAACACATCCCTGACAGTCACACAGACTAGACTGGCAGACGGTAACACATCCCTGACAGTCACACAGACTAGACTGGCAGACGGTAACACATCCCTGACAGTCACACAGACTAGACTGGCAGACGGTAACACATCCCTGACAGTCACACAGACTAGACTGGCAGACGGTAACACATCCCTGACAGTCACACAGACTAGACTGGCAGACGGTAACACATCCCTGACAGTCACACAGACTAGACTGGCAGACGGTAACACATCCCTGACAGTCACACAGACTAGACTGGCAGACGGTAACACATCGCCGACAGTCACACAGACTAGACTGGCAGACGGTAACACATCCCTGACAGTCACACAGACTAGACTGGCAGACGGTAACACATCGCCGACAGTCACATGATTTCAGGATCTGGGGGTGAAGCATGTGAGTGCCGTCTTGGGGGTGAAGCATGTGAGTGCTGTCTTGGGGGTCAGGATCAGAGACATTTAAACCGAGACTTCTGATAGGAGCAGTCGGTAGAGGTACCTTGCATTGCAGGACTAGGCACACGTGTGCAGTGATGTCGACTGTGATATCATATCGCTGTCACTGTCTGTACACATCGCTGTCATTGTCTGTACACATCACTGTCACTGTCTGTACACATCACTGTCACTGTCTGTACACATTGCTGTCACTGTCTGTACACATTGCTGTCACTGTCTGTACACATCACTGTCACTGTCTGTACACATTGCTGTCACTGTCTGTACACATCGCTGTCACTGTCTGTACACATCGCTGTCACTGTCTGTACACATCACTCAAACATCTTTGTTATATTGAACTCTCTGTACACTATCACGTGTCGGCTCTGGCTAAGTCGATGCGAACGCTTCGTAATGCCAGAATGCCGGGTTCGATCCCAACTGCGGGCTATGCGCCTTGGGTTGGTTTCGACAGTGGTTTCAAGAAAGCCGACCGTCCAGGAAGAAATGGCAAACTACTAGAAGACAATTTACCTAGAAAAACCACACAACAGCCAGGGGCTGTTGGGGTTGGTTCTGCAATGTCCTGTACAGGATAGGCAACTTACCTAACACCATCACGTGCCACATTTTGTAACTACACAGTCCCTAAACAGACAAAGCCTGGGTCTCAATAAGACAGAACTGATCAG